CTTTCATTTATTTTTCAAATTATTTTGTTATAATTTAGTTTATTATTTTTTGGTTTTCTTATTTTTTTATTATTTTTTACAAAATATGAAATTTTTAATTTCTTTAATTTTTTCTGCTTAATTTCTTTGAAAGCAGAATACGTTGTAACAACAATATTAACCCGACGTTATAAAATTGTACATATTATGTTTATTCAAGGAAAAGCCAACCAAGTGCTAAAAATGGTTTTATTATCTTCTTTTTTTCTTTAATTAAAATTGCAAATAAAATATCGCTGACCAACAAACACTTTCATAAAATTATTCCACATTTTATTCGTCCAGACGACCAACACGAAGAAAAAAATCCCGTAGAGTCAATTTGACGCCAAAAATATTTTCAAAAAATATATAAACGTTATTAACATCAACATAAAAACGTTAAGAAAATATAAAAACACACTAAACGCCTGCCACACTTATGATTCAAATATACACATTAAATTTGTAATTATTATTTTTTTTTTTTTAATTTATGATTCTACATTTAAATCATTTTATTTACTTCACAAATATATCTTTTTATTTTCTTTTAATATCATATTTAGTCGCGTGTTATTCTTAACGCGAGTTACCCGGTCTTTTTTTAACGTAATTTTACGATTTCTAACAATAAAACCTCATATATTGTTTAAAGAGAAAAAACACCGTCCGTTTGCTTAAAACAGTAACAACTGTTTTGTTCATTTCAAAATTTCCTAGACTAAAGGTTGTGATTTTACTTCAACAGTCATAGAATGAAAACAATAACAAACGCCAGAAAATAGCAACAGTAGCAGTAACATTTTCACACCACAACAACAATAACATTATTAACTATTGAACATTTAACAGTTGTGTTATCATATGGTTAGTCTTATCATATTGGCTATCGTTATACAACGACCCGTCCACGAAAAGCTAAATACAGCAACAAACAGAATATGCAAGAGCAAGAAAAAGCTTTTCAACAACTCAGAATTTCTGTAATAAAGTACAAAGTAAGTAAAATAGTAAACGTATGTTAAATAACAGTGGTATAACAATTTTAAGCTTTTTATTATTATGACAGTTACAGAATAACTGTTATGTAAAACGGATATGAAATTCATACCTTTCATATTCGTTTTACAGACACAAGTTCCGTTTCGGTTTAAATTAAGAGACTAAAATGGACCAAATGATACTTCCACTTGCACAAATTTCTGTAAAACTGAACTAGAACAGAACTAGAACGAACTAGAACAGAACTAGAACAGAACTAGAACAGAACTAGAACAGAACTAGAACAGAACTAGAACAGAACTAGAACAGAACTAGAACAGAACTAGAACAGAACTAGAACAGAACTAGAACAGAACTAGAACTGAACTAGAACTGAACTAGAACTTGAACTAGAACTGAACTAGAAACTGAACTAGAACTGAACTAGAACTGAACTAGAACTGAACTAGAACTGAACTAGAACTGAACTAGAACTGAACTAGAACTGAACTAGAACTGAACTAGAACTGAACTAGAACTGAACTAGAACTGAACTAGAACTGAACTAGAACTGAACTAGAACTGAACTAGAACTGAACTAGAACTGAACTAGAACTGAACTAGAACTGAACTAGAACTGAACTAGAACTGAACTAGAACTGAACTAGAACTGAACTAGAACTGAACTAGAACTGAACTAGAACTGAACTAGAACTGAACTAGAACTGAACTAGAACTGAACTAGAACTGAACTAGAACTGAACTAGAACTGAACTAGAACTGAACTAGAACTGAACTAGAACTGAACTAGAACTGAACTAGAACTGAACTAGAACTGAACTAGAACTGAACTAGAACTGAACTAGAACTGAACTAGAACTGAACTAGAACTGAACTAGAACTGAACTAGAACTGAACTAGAACTGAACTAGAACTGAACTAGAACTGAACTAGAACTGAACTAGAACTGAACTAGAACTGAACTAGAACTGAACTAGAACTGAACTAGAACTGAACTAGAACTGAACTAGAACTGAACTAGAACTGAACTAGAACTGAACTAGAACTGAACTAGAACTGAACTAGAACTGAACTAGAACTGAACTAGAACTGAACTAGAACTGAACTAGAACTGAACTAGAACTGAACTAGAACCGAACTAGAACTGAACTAGAACTGAACTAGAACTGAACTAGAACTGAACTAGAACTGAACTAGAACTGAACTAGAACTGAACTAGAACTGAACTAGAACTGAACTAGAACTGAACTAGAACTGAACTAGAACTGAACTAGAACTGAACTAGAACTGAACTAGAACTGAACTAGAACTGAACTAGAACTGAACTAGAACTGAACTAGAACTGAACTAGAACTGAACTAGAACTGAACTAGAACTGAACTAGAACTGAACTAGAACTGAACTAGAACTGAACTAGAACTGAACTAGAACTGAACTAGAACTGAACTAGAACTGAACTAGAACTAGAACTGAACTAGAACTGAACTAGAACTGAACTAGAACTGAACTAGAACTGAACTAGAACTAGAACTGAACTAGAACTGAACTAGAACTGAACTAGAACTGAACTAGAACTGAACTAGAACTGAACTAGAACTGAACTAGAACTGAACTAGAACTGAACTAGAACTGAACTAGAACTGAACTAGAACTGAACTAGAACTGAACTAGAACTGAACTAGAACTGAACTAGAACTGAACTAGAACTGAACTAGAACTAGAACTGAACTAGAACTGAACTAGAACTGAACTAGAACTGAACTAGAACTGAACTAGAACTGAACTAGAACTGAACTAGAACTGAACTAGAACTGAACGAGAACTGAACAAGAACTGAACAAGAACTGAACTATAACTGAACTAGAACTGAACTAGAACTGAACTAGAACAGAACTAGAACAGAACTAGAACAGAACTAGAACAGAACTAGAACAGAACTAGAACAGAACTAGAACAGAACTAGAACAGAACTAGAACAGAACTAGAACAGAACTAGAACAGAACTAGAACAGAACTAGAACAGAACTAGAACAGAACTAGAACAGAACGGAACTAGAACAGAACTAGAATAGAACTAGAACAGAACTAGAACAGAACTAGAACAGACCTAGAACAGACCTAGAACAGAACTAGAACAGAACTAGAACAGACCTAGAACAGACCTAGAACAGAACTAGAACAGAACTAGAACAGAACTGGAACAGAACTAGAACAGAACTGGAACAGAACTAGAACTACAATAGAACTAGAACAAAACTAGGATAACTTGGAAAGGGCGCATACTCATATATATTTTTTGATCTAATTGCTTTTTTATAGATTTTAAATTTATTTTTCTTTCTGTAACAATTTTTTAACGAAATAAGTGTCTGTTGTTTAAAATTGACAACGACAGCAGTCATTGTGACAGTGTGATTACAATAAAATATAAAAACCTCATTGACACATACAAGAGAAAAAAGAAACGAAATAAGAGGATTAAAGTGAAAGATGTCCAGCATATGTTATTTAAAAATTTTAAATAAAATGCATTTTGTTGATCATTAGAAAACTACTTGATTGCTGAGCAATGCGTAATAGGGTGGGTTCGATTTATTGAAACAACTACTAAATGGTTTTAAACATTTTCTGAAAATAAAACTACATTTGTTTCTACCAGTTATTTTAAATTTATTGTTATTAGTTTCATTACCATACAAACATTTTTATTACAATTTTTTTTTTTTTTTTTTGGTTTTAAACTTTTTAGCAGTTTTCATCTTTTTGTTTAATGTTTTTCTTTTTCATTTTAATTTTGTTAGTTACACATAACATTACAATTATTACTTAAGCTTTACATTTACATACAATGTTTTCATACATACTTATGATCTGTTAGCAATCATAATTTGTTTAGAAAAATATTTAGAAAAATGCATAATTAACTTTTGCTTATTATTTATATTTTTATGTTTTTTTTTTGTTCTTCATTAATACAATTAACAATTATATTTGTGTTGTTCATTTCTTTAAAACTAAATTTGCTTTATTTTTGTTGTTGTTCTTAAAGGTGGGCTAAAAGGTTGCAACTACCAGTTGTCGAATTTATTTATGGTTTTTTTACACTTGTTCTCTAATATACACACATACATACAAATATGCTTAATATTATGTTTTTTTGTATTTTTTTTAATAAATATAAAGCTTTTTAGTGCATTAGTGTGAGTGTGTTTATTTTCTCTTTACTTTAGGGAGGAGGGAGAGGAAAAGGATATAAGGTAAGAAGAGTATTTGTATAGATATGTATATGTGTTTTTATGTTTCAAGGAAGAGCTTTAACTAACTGCCATTTATTTTCATCTTATTACACACATTCATATAGAAATTTTTAAAATGTTTCTTTTAATATTATTTCTTAAATTTTTTTCTTACAAAAAAAACAAAATTATATTGTTAATTGCTAATAACAATTGAATTTATTTTTTAACAAATATTGTTGTTTTTGGTTTATTTCTTTCAAATAAGTTTCTGTTGCGCTTCGTTTTATTGTTCACCATTTTTTAGTTTGTCCAGTGTGTTGAAAACAATTGAGTAGACAATGTCCATTAACTTAATCCAGGCTGCCGTTTGTTTCTCATTTAAATTACAGACCGCCGTTAATACCTCCAAAATAACCTCTTTCAGTTCCTATGAAAGTTACAGAAACAAAATTATCTTAAATAGGAACTTAATTACATTTTTTTTTTTTGAGATTTCACAACTTACATTAACGATTGTTTTTCAATTTGTCGATTAAAATGTGACACTGCAACTTTTGACCACATTTCCTCTAGCTTTGGTCCCGACCAATCATGTCCCAACATTTGTATGGATTCATCAAAAACTTTAATAATGCGCACGGCATGGGCTTTGAAGCGGGCATTGTTCTGTAATAAAAATAAATGAAATGCTCATTTTTAGACTGTGATATTTTCTAAAGTCTTGATTTCAATCATGTGTATAGTCCAGAATATAGTCTTTACTATAGTCCAGACAATTTGGTAACGAAATCGATGCTCTTGAGCGAAAAATTCCATTTAAATTAATTACTCATATTTCCTTTAAAACCCATATCGCCTATAGTCCAGACTATATTTTTTTCTCTAGTTCAGTCTGTAGTACTGTCTATAGTCCAGACTATATTCTTGTATATATGGCAGTCTAGCTTATAACTCAGACGATATTTGTTTCTATGTTCTAGACTATAGTCTTGTCTACAGTCCATACTACAGACTTTTATACAGTCCAGACTATAAACATGTCTTCAGTCTAGAATAGTCTTGTGTATAATCTAGGCTATAGTCTTTTGTATAGTCCAGACTATAGTCTTTTCTATAGTCTTATCTATAGTCCAAACTATAATCTTGTCTATAGTGAAGATTATAGTCTTGTCTATAGCCCAGACTTAAGTCTTGTCTATAGTCCAGACTATAGTGTGTCTATAGTCCAGTCTATAGTCTTGACTATAGTGTGTATATAGTCAGTCTATAGTCTTGTCTATAGTCCAGCCTATAGTCTTGTCTATAGTCCAGACTATAGTGTTGTCTTTTGTCCATATGATAGTCTTGTCTATAGTGCAGACTATATAGCCTTGTCTATAGTCCAGACTATAGTCTTGTCTATAGTCCAGACTATAGTGTTGTCTTTAGTCCAGACGATAGTCTTGTCTATAGTCCAGACTATAGTCTTGTCTATTGTCCGGACTATAGTCTTGTCTATTGTCCGTACTATAGTCTTGTGTATAGTTTAGACTATAGTATATGGTCTTGTAAACAGTCTAGACTATAGTCTTGTGTATAGTCTAGACTATAGTCCAGACTATAGTCTTGTCTATAGTCCAGACTATAGTGTTGTTATACTCCAGACTATAGTCTTGTCTATAGTCCAGACTATAGTGTTGTTTATACTCCAGACTATAGTCTTTTCTATAGTCCAGATTATAGTGTTGTCTATAGTCCAGACTATAGTGTTGTCTATAGTCCAGACTATAGTAAGGACTATGGTCTTGTCTATAGTCCAGACTATAGTCCAGACTATAGTCTTGTCTATAAACCAGACTATAGTCTTGTCTATAGTCCAGACTATAGTCTTGTCTATAGTCCAGACTATAGTATTGTCTATAGTCCAGACTATAGTATTGTCTATAGTCCAGACTATAGTATGGTCTATAGTCCAGACTATAGTATTGTCTATAGTCCAGACTATAGTATTGTCTATAGTCCAGACTATACCGTATTGTCTATAGTCCAGACTATAGTCTGATCTCTAATTCAGACTTTATTCTTGTCTATAGTCTTGTCTATAGTCCAGACTGTAGTCTTGTCTATAATCCAGAATGTAGTCTTGTCTATAGTCCAGACTGTAGTCTTGTCTATAGTCCAGACTGTAGTCTTGGCTATAGTCCAGACTGTAGTCTTGGCTATAATCTAGACCACAGTCTTGTCTATAGCCCAGACCATAGTCTTGTCTATAGCCCAGACCATAGTCCTGTCTATAGTCCAGACTTTAGTCTTGCCTATAGTTCATACTATAGTATTGTCTGTAGTCCATTCTATAGACTATAGTCTTGTCTATAGTCCAGACTATAGTCTTGTCTATAGTCCAGGCTATAGTTTTGTCTATAGTCTAGACTATAGTCTTGTCTATAGTCTAGACTATAGTCTTGTCTATAGTCCAGACTATAGTCTTGTTTATAGTCCAGACTATATTCCAGACTATAGTCTTGTCTATAGTCCAGACAATAGTCTTGTCTTTAGTAAAGTCTAGTTAACAATTTATGTAGCTCTGAAGCTGCATGGGTCCGACTTGATCAATTCTAAAATGACATCCTTAAACATATATAGTAAAAGTATAGCCAACAATTACCCACTTGAACACCCCATTAAATGTCCTTCTGTCAAAGTTTAAACAAAACTCTCAGGCACACCTCTTATCTCAATCTTCTCTGCTTCTTACAACACTTATCTATTTATTGAAATATACTTAAACATTGTCTATATTTAGGGATATTGACAACACTTCAAAAATATTTAGCATACTTCAAGGCACTTAAATGTCAACAGACTGTTAAATAAATATCAAGATGGTGTAACTAATACTTAACATCTATTAACAAAAATATATGTATGTATGTTTTTCCAAGCCTAATGAAGGCAATTTTTAAACAATTGTTCTCCTTAATATCCCTAATCATCTGAAAATAGTTTGTTTAAGAAAATACTTACTTTTAATTCATCAATTGGCAGATCTTTAAATGAATAAAACTTTTCCAAATTGGACGGATATTTTGTAAAGAATTTTAACAATATCGCCACACCGGACTCTGTGGGTGTAGCAGCGGGTATTTCCCAAGTTTTTTTTGATCTCATATACTTCATCGCAATTCATGTTGGTGTGTTAAAAGTCTTTATTAAAGCTCTGTAGAAACCGTCAATTATATATAAAGATAAATTTAGCTGTAATCAGAAAAAAAGAAAAAAGATTATTAAACTCTAAAAGCACAAATTCACTAAATACATATGTTTAATAATGTACACACACGCATACAAAAATCATTAGCATTCTGTAGTTGACATTTCTATTAAAGTCATTCATTCATTTCATCCAAATATCCCTCCCCCTTCAGAATGTTCTAACGAACATTTATAAGTTCAACAATATTTAAAAATTTAACGTTTTTGTGTCAGTTTTAATTTGTTTATTATATTATTCATTGTAGTATTTAACTTTTTTTACTTGTCATCTGTTTTGCATGATGTCAAGTTGTCGGACAGACAGTTAGATTGACTTTTATTCTTTTTTAGTGGTTGTGCTTTATGATTGTTGTCATTTCAATTTTATGACTGTACAATACACACAACAACAAAAATAATAATATTATTATTTCTCTGTACAAGAAGTCTTCAACAACAAAAACATATTTTCGACAACAACAACAACAAAAAATCATAAGTATTATGTCAAGTGGTTTTGTTTTCATTCTGACACGTGATTAAGTTAATGGGCAGAGCACAATGGGTCATAAAATGCCAATTCCTTATGAAAACTCTATATAGACTATCTTTTTTAAAATTTCTGTTGCACTTTAATAGCTTTTTTATATTATTCCGAAATTTTAATTTTAAATTTAACAAAATAATTAAAAATTGTTCAAACAAGAAAAGGTTGAATATCGGTCTATTCCTAATATTCGTGAAACAATTCATAACGAATTTAAAGTATAATTTTTAACAGATTTTTTTTATTAAAATTTAGATAAATAATTATTCTTTCCCATAGTGCAACCACTATTTACATTAAATCGTATATTATTCACAATAATGCAATCAGAATTTTGAAATAATAATTCTTAAAAAACAAAATAATTTTTTTTATATTAAATTTTAAAACAATATTGTTATATCAGCATTTTAATGATCTTCGGAAACACTATATATGGGTGCTAAGTACAGTTAAGGACCCACCTCTACATAACTTGTAGAAAATTCCAATAACTTATACAAATACACTACACCACACACCAGACTATAGACTAGACTACAGACTAGACAATAAAATAAACTATAGACTAGACTAAATACTAGAGCATAGACTAGACTAAACACTAGACTATAGACTTGACTGTAGACTAGACTGTAGACTAGACTATAGACTAGACTATACTATAGACTAGACTATAGACTAGACTATAGACTAGACTATAGACTAGACTATAGACTAGACTATAGACTAGACTATAGACTAGACTATAGACTACTATACTAGACTATAACTAGACTATAGACTAGACTATAGACTAGACTAGACTAGACTATAGACTAGACATAGACTAGACTATAGACTAGACTAGACTAGACTATAGACTAGACTATAGACTATAGACTAGACTATAGACTAGACTATAGACTAGACTATAGACTAGACTATAGACTAGACTATAGACTAGACTATAGACTAGACTATAGACTAGACTATAGACTAGACTATAGACTAGACTATAGACTAGACTATAGACTAGACTATAGACTAGACTATAGACTAGACTATAGACTAGACTATAGACTAGACTATAGACTAGACTATAGACTAGACTATAGACTAGACTATAGACTAGACTATAGACTAGACTATAGACTAGACTATAGACTAGACTATAGACTAGACTAGACTAGACTATAGACTAGACTATAGACTAGACTATAGACTAGACTATAGACTAGACTATAGACTAGACTATAGACCAGACTATAGACTAGATTAGACTAGACTATAGACTAGACTATAGACTAGACTATAGACTAGACTATAGACTAGACTATAGACTAGACTATAGACTAGACTATAGACTAGACTATAGACTAGACTATAGACTAGACTATAGACTAGACTATAGACTAGACTATAGACTAGACTATAGACTAGACTATAGACTAGACTATAGACTAGACTATAGACTAGACTATAGACTAGACTATAGTAGACTAGACTATAGACTAGACTATAGACTAGACTATAAGTAGACTAGACTATAGACTAGACTATAGACTAGACTATAGACCTGACTATAGACTAGACTATAGACTAGACTATAGACTAGACAATAGACTAGACTATAGACTAGACTATAGACCAGACTATAGACTAGACTATAGACTAGACTATAGACTAGACTATAGACTAGACTATAGACTAGACTAGACTATACTAAGACAAGACTATAGACTAGACTATAGACTAGACTATAGACTAGACTATAGACTAGACTATAGACTAGACTATAGACTAGACTATAGACTAGACTATAGACTAGACTATAGACTAGACTAGACTAGACTATAGACTAGACTATAGACTAGACTATAGACTAGACTATAGACTAGACTATAGACTAGACTATAGACTAGACTATAGACTAGACTATAGACTAGACTATAGACTAGACTATAGACTAGACTATAGACTAGACTATAGACTAGACTATAGACTAGACTATAGACTAGACTATTGACTAGACTATTGACTAGACTATAGACTAGACTATAGACTAGACTATTGACTAGACTATAGACTAGACTATAGACTAGACTATAGACTAGACTATAGACTAGACTATAGACTAGACTATAGACTAGACTATAGACTAGACTATAGACTAGACTATAGACTAGACTATAGACTAGACTATAGACTAGACTATAGACTAGACTATAGACTAGACTATAGACTAGACTATAGACTAGACTATAGACTAGACTATAGACTAGACTATAGACTAGACTATAGACTATAGACTAGACTATAGACTAGACTATAGACTAGACTATAGACTAGACTATAGACTAGACTATAGACTAGACTATAGACTAGACTATAGACTAGACTATAGACTAGACTATAGACTAGACTATAGACTAGATTATAGACTAGATTATAGACTAGACTATAGACTAGACTATAGACTAGACTATAGACTAGACTATAGACTAGACTATAGACCATATAGAGTCGGTCTAGTCAACAGACTTTACCTGACTGAATACCTTTAATTCTATTAAAAATTAAAACCGTCAAGTCCTAAAACATGTTATATTCATAAAGCGTGGTAGATGTAATGGTTTTCTCCGAAAGAATATACTCCTTACAATTACTGTTTATAAATATAGTACAATCTCTTTACATTTTGTTTGGTTCATTTATATTGAGTATTTTATTCGTGAGTTTTTCTCTTTATCTGTTAGTATATACGGAATAATTCATAAATATATTATTTTTTTTTAGTTATTGTGAGTGCAATCTACTTAATAGAAAGTATATGTACCAGGGTTGGACAGCTTAATGCTCTACAAGATTGCATTAACCTAGCCATAGGTATTGAAACAAATATGCTAAAATGATTTTAGTAGATCAAAATATTTTGTTAACAATAAGTACAAATCTGCACGAAATTGCATGTGTTAATTATTAGTACTTTAATACATATGTACCAATTTCCCACCTCTGCATATGTCTGCTCCGATAATATTGAAATTTACTCATAATATGGTTTTGTAAATGCAAGAGTATTTCCGAATGACAGAAGAGGAAATGGAAACAGCATGTGATGAATAAACAATCAAATAATAGTACTTATGAGAATGTAAGTAAAAAAACATAAAAGTAATAAAAGTATTAAATATTTGTCAAACAATTTAAGCAATAAATTATATGGTGGAAAAGAGCAATGCTCTTTAATAACGAAATATAGAGAAATTTAAGAAAATACATTTGCTGTAATGAGAAAATGAGAAAATGAGGCTAGTAGACTAGTACCTTTACAAGTCAAGAGTATAATAAATATAATAGACATGATTCTATTCAACAGACTAGTCAATAGACTAATCTAAGGAAGAGTCAACATACTAGTCAAAAGACAAATCAATAGAGTAATCAGTGGATTATGCAATAGATTAGTTAATAGAGCAGTTAAGAATCTATTCATTCGGCTAGTTAATAGACCAGTCAATATACTGGTTAATGTACTAGATAAGAGAATAGTCTAGTAGACTAGTTAGTAGGCTACTCAATAGTAGTCAATAGTCAATAAACTAGTCCATGCTCAATAGACTAGTTAGTAGACTGGTCAATATTCTAGTCAATAGACTAATCAGTAGGCTAGTCAATGGAATAGTCAATATACTCACCAGACTAGTTAATGTACTAGTCAATAGAATAGGCAGTAGGCTTGTCAATAGAATAATCAGTAGGCTAGTCAATAGATGAGTCAATAGACTGGTACATATGCTAGTCAAAAAACTAGTCCACTAGGACTAATCAAGACTAGTTAATAGAATAGTCAGTAGACTAGTTAATAAAATAGTGAATGGAATAGTCAATAGTTGACTAGTCATTATACTAGTCAATGTACTTGTCAATAGACTAGTCAAAAGATTAATCAATTGACTAGTCCATAGGCCAATCAGTGAACCAGTCCATATACTAATCAATAGACTGGTCAATTATATAGTCATTAGATTATTCAATAAACTACTGACTAATCAATATACTAGTCGGTAAGCTAGTCTATACATCAGTCAATAGACTACTCAATGCTCAAGTCAATAAACTGGTCCATTGACTATCAATAGACTGGTCAAAAGACTAAGCAATAGGCTAGCCAATATACTAGTCTGTAGGCTTGTCAATAGACTAGTCAATAAACAGGTTGACAAACTAAACAATAGCCTGGTCAATAGACTGGCCAGTAGACTAGTCAATAAACTAGTTAGTAGACTAGTCAATACACTAGTCAATATACTAATCAATAGACCAGTCAGTAGGCTAGACAATAGCCTAGTCAATATTCTAGTCAATAGACTAATCCATAGACTAATCAATAGTCAATGGACTAATCAATACAGAAAAGTAAACAGACTAATCAATGGAATATTCAATAGAGTCAGTAGACTAGACCATTGACTAAT